TCGTGACCTGGCTGAAGTCGGACACTTAACCGACTGCGCCACCCAGGAGCCCCTAATTTTTTTTTTTTTTTTTTTTGAAAGTAGCTTTCTTAATTAAATCTGAAGCGTAGCCTGAAGCCTATACTTTATTTATTTATTTATTTTTTCAACGTTTTTATTTATTTTTGGTACAGAGAGAGACAGAGCATGAACGGGGGAGGGGCAGAGAGAGAGGGAGACACAGAATCAGAAACAGGCTCCAGGCTCCGAGCCATCAGCCCAGAGCCCGACGCGGGGCTCGAACTCACAGACGGTGAGATCGTGACCTGGCTGAAGTCGGACGCTTAACCGACTGCGCCACCCAGGCGCCCCTGAAGCCTATACTTTAGAAATAAATTAGGCCGTGTACTGCTTTTGGTCCCTTCAGCAGTGTTCAGAATTAAAATCATCCCAATTTTAAATTTTTTGCCTGTTTTTCTTTGTGTACTGTTCTTACAAGAAAGCTCTCTGGTTCCATTAATAAAAATCACCCTCAAGGCCATCAAGGTGGACAGTGGCTCATTGTGATAAGCCACTCCTGCTGTACTCTGGGTCATTTTCCCTTGGAATATTCCTAATCACTTCTACCATTGACACACTAGCTTTAAGAGACATGCTCCTTTCCCCTCCACCACCTGTGTAGATCATGGAGAGCATACAGTGAAGTTCAAAATAAGTTTTTAGAGATTCAATGCTAATAGAAGGGGAAACAGAAGGCAGAGAGTAACTTTAATCTTCAAACCCGTTTGCCTAAGGTCCTTTAAGGGCTGCTGGCAGGCCTGTTCTGCAGGCTGGCCTGGTGTGGCCTCTACCGTGTAGCTAGATTTTTCCTCACCAGACTTCACAGTATGAGGAAAACATGGCCTCTCTCTGTCTTCATGTACTCCACATATTCATCTCCTGACCAGCGCTGCCTCTTCCCGGGATGATTGGCATTGGCAATGCTCACTATCTTCTGGGAAGGCAACCTCATTTTTTTTTCTTTTTAATTTCTTTGCATTGTCACATAATTTTACATTAGTTTAGTTTCAAGTGTAGAGCATAGCGATTCCACAAGTCTATACATTATGCTATGCTCACTAGAACCACCATCTGTCACCGTACAACCCTATTGCAATACCCTTGACTGTATTTTCTATGCTGTACCTTTTTCCCTCTGACTTACTCATTCCATAACTGGAAGCCTGTATCTCCCACTCTCCTTAACCCATTTTGACCATCCTCCCGCCCGTCTCCCACTAGCAACCATCAGTTTGTTCTCTGTATTTATGATGCTGTTTCTGTTTTTTAAAATTTGTTTTGTTTTGCCTGTTTTTACATATAAGTGAAATCATATGGTATTTGTCTTTCTCTGTCTGACTTATTTCACTCAGCATAAAACCCTTTAGGTCCATCCATGTTGTTGCAAATGGCAAGATCTCATCTTTTTTATGGCTAAGTGATATTTGTGTGCGTGTGTGTGTGTGTGTGTGTGTGTGTGTGTGTGTGTGTATACATACACCACATATTCTTTATTTATCTATCAATGGATACTTGGACTGCTTCCCTAACTTGGTTATTGTAAATAATGTTGCAATAAACATACTGGTGCATGTATCTTTTCAAATTAGTGTTTTCATTTTCTTTGGGTAAATACCCAATAGTGGAATTACTGGATCATGTAAATGATTTAATTTTTTGAGGACCCCCCCCCCCACTCTCTTCTAGAGTGGCAAGGGAGCTTTATTTTAAGAGCTCAGTGTGATGATGACATGGTACAAACTAATATCAGTACAGGATATGACAGTACAGGAGTAGTGGCAGACCTCTAATGCAGTGGCTCGGAACCCTGGCTACATGTTAGAATCTCATGAGGAGCTTTCAAAAAAGGCTGACCCCGGGGCACCTGGGTGGCTCAGTCGATTAAGCCGCCGACTTCGGCTCAGGTCATGATCTCGCGGTCCATGAGTTCGGGCCCCGCGTCGGGCTCTGTGCTGACAGCTCAGAGCCTGGAGCCTGTTTCAGATTCTGTGTCTCCCTCTCTCTGAACCTCCCCCATTCATACTCTGTCTCTCTCTGTCTCAAAAATAAATAAACGTTAAAAAAAAAAAAAAAAAAGGCTGACCCTTGGCTCCCACCTTATGCTAATCAGAATCTCTGAGAGTGGAGTTTAGTCATCAGGACTTTCTTAAGCTCCTCGAGGTAGCCTAATGCGCCAAACCAGATTGAGAATCACTGCTCTGGTCTTTTTAACACTAATCTTCAAAGATATATTGTGGGAAATAGAGTCCCGTGGTAAAAAGTAAAATATTTTAAATTCCTGGACACGATATTGTATACTGAATCCCTTTCTTAGAGTTCAAAAGTGCACAGTGTTCCAAGTCTCTAAGAAGTCCTAAAATGAAAGCAAATTTACTTGGATTAACCCTTAATTTTCAAAACTGAAATACAGATTTAAAAAGTATATATAACACCCAATAATATTGCTTGGATGTACATGAAAACCACTACTCAAGAGACTGGTAAGTACCTGGTACTATCCTAGTGACTTTTTCAGAATTTACTCCTGCAGATGTAGTAGACTTGATTGAACAGAACAACGAAGTTTCTCAAGTCAAGCAAGAAAAAGACTTTGCCAAACCATTACTTAACAATTTCTGCCATTCTGTGGCTCCCTGCCTCAAACAAGAATTCCTGTATTTTTATTTTACAGTTTCATTGTTTTTATTTTGTGGTACTTTCTTTTGGTTTTCCTGAGCTAATTATTGGTTATTTGGGATTTAGCTACCCATTAATCTGCCCAGGTATTTTGTTTTACTTCTTTATGTCTTTAAACAATCGTTTGTCTTATTTCAGAAGTTGACCATCATGTAAAATTATACTAATCACTGCGATGCACAGAAATCACTTCACATTTGTATAGCCCATACTTCTATTTTTGTTCACTAGGATATTTTTACATTGACTTTAAATAAAATTTACTTGTCTCCATGTGTTCTTATCTTTTCTAGTGGACAGTTTCATAAGCGTAACGTGAGTAGAAAAGTCTACTGCCAGTAACTAATATCTGCAATCAAGTGGACGTCCGCAGCCTAATGTCTTCTCTTTGAATAAATAATAAAATAATTTATTGTAATTGTAGTGCCATTAAATGCAGTCAGTGCTTTTCCAGAAACTGTTGATAGACCGAAACTGTTTTTGATGTTCAAACTTAGAAAATGGCCAGACCCTTCAGCAAATACTTATTTTCTTACATTTGCTCTTATGCAGGTAGTGGGTGATTTGCCATTTTTTAGTAATTAAAACATGGACCTAAATAGTGAATATATATATATATGTCGCATGCAAAAAGTCTGCATACACCTCAGACATTAAAGTTTGCCATTGTATTTTATCTCCTTTATACGATGACCTAGCAATCTATATTTTTCTGCTTAGCCTTGTATCTGTTTTTATTTCATTATCTATGAAGGTTTTTGCTTAAAAGTATGGACTTTGTGCCTTTAAACTGATCATCAGGGAAAATGTTGAAAAATCATTTGAAGGGCTTATGTGAAGGGACACTGTAAATTTTTGTATCTTACCAATGAATGAGTAATGAAAATTTGTAGAAACTGTTGAATTTCTCCTAATTTATTTTCTATTTCTGTGGCTTATAAAATTAACATGTAGGGTTTTACATTGCAATAAAAGTGTTTTTTTGCTTGCTGAATTTAAAATTATATATTAATAGTACCATCAGAGGGCAGTGATCTATTACACGATGTCAGACTCAGCTCTAAAGATATTTGTAGTAACTGAATGAGTTAAACTAAGAATCTGATGGGCTATACTGAGTGATAATAGATTTGTCCAAATTTCATAGGTGTTTTTATTCTTTTGTATTTATTAAAGAATGATCTCAAGATTTATACACATGCGAAATTGCCAAGGCAAATGTGAATGTATGAAATAGAAACATGTAGGTACTGTATTTAAAAGGTCTACTTTAAACATAAACATACTATGAGGTAACTCTATGTGATGCATAGTCATAAGCTTTTCTAGTTTTTGTTCATTAGTAACATGAGCATTAGTAACATTATAGCATTTTTGTTTTTTGAATTTTCGTTTTTAGTATATAATAAGCTAAAATAGGAGAATTCCTAGATCTTTTAATTTGGTTGCTAACTCTTTTGGATGACAAGGCCACAATCTGAGCCCTAAATTAGAATTTGTAAGACAGTTAAGTGCCAATGGAGACTATAAATTAGACCAGCTTATTTGATTTACAAAAAGAAAACTGAGCCATCATTGTGCTCATCCCTCCCACAAGACCTGTATTACATAGCAGTATATCATATATGATAATTTTAGAGTTTGAACTATATTCTAGGTCTCTTGACTCTTCATTGGAAAAATTATTTTTTCTATTATGGCATAAAATAGTTTATGAATATCCAGGCAAGACATATATTTAGACAGGCTCAGTTTTTCTTCATCCTTTAGAAGGTCAGTGGTATTTTTGTTGATAAAGGATAGTGAAATCATTGAATTTTATTTTAGAAATAAAATTTTTGACCTTATGAACATGATTAATTTCTCCAAGGCAGAAAGGAAGAAAAACATCATCAGCAGGTGAATAGATATAAAGCCAGAATGTACTAACCTTGAACTGTGTAAATCCTTCCTTCTGCTTTAATATAGAAAGAACAATTTTATCTGTACTACGTCTTAAGAATTACAACTTGAGTTGGTGTAACCATGAATGATATGCTGGTGTATTGCTTTCTGGGAACAATGGGATATCCTGCTCCAGCCAATCATGCATGGCCTGCTTCCATGGGTATAATCAGCTTTCTGCAAAAAGATATGGGTTGCATGGGCTAAGGGGTGATACTCAAATGTTAAGAATAGTTTTAGGAAGGGGAAGGGAAAAGAGGAGACTAGATGCCTGATAGGAAACCATTAAGTGACTACTAAAAAAAGCACATATATATCCAACCTCTCTCTCATCAAGTTATGAATCCGTTCCTGATGAAAACTTAACTTGGAGCCAATTTCCCATAAATCATAATTCAAGTAGGAAAACATGGTAATGCTTAATATGTCACCCAAACCCTCCAACAAATGACTAAAATATAACTGAAACAGTGAAATACTTTTATATAACTATCATATTAAGATGTAAAATGCTAAAACCACTGCTTCTTAATTTTAATCATCAGACAATATGACTGGTAACAAAAAGTTGTATATTATCATATAGCCCCTTTGTTAACATGCTGCATGTTTTTTAAAACATCTATATGTGATACTATGGTTCACCAATTGTATTTGGAATGTAATTAATAGTTTTCACATACATAGTTTGTTATAAATTCTGTATTGCCTTATGGGGACATAATATACATTTTTCTTATATAAAAATTGAGTTTGGCCATCTCTTTAACAAAATTGTATCTTCACGGCATATTGAATAATTAGAACTTGGGTGAATGGTTAGGGAAACCATGAAGCTCTTATCTCTGGCATGAATGAGAACAACAGAGCTAAAGGCTATTTGGTATGTTCATACAATCCCTGAATTTACAGATAGGCATGTTTCTTTTTCTATACTCTAAAGGAGAAATGGTAATAGTCTCCTGTTGCCTTAGAGAAATACAATAATGTAAAAGTTCTAGCTATCATCCTTTGTACCCCAGGAGAATTGACGTAAGCTTTGAGGTTTTTTTTCCAACAGTCCGATTTGTAAATCTTCACTAGGAATTATAGTACACCCTTAGAAGAAAAAGTAACTTGTCAGTTTTAGGTTTGAATAATATCTGCATAAATAGGTTAGTAAGAGAGAGGTAGGTAGGCACACCTATCTGCGTTGACATTTAAGGTGTGTGTGGTTATTTTGTTTTGTTTTTAACACTTCCAAACAAGCATCTCAAATTCCCCTACTACATGAGCTCTAAGCTGATTCAACTGTGACACCATAGCCATTTTGTTTGATTTTCTCAAAAGCCACTAGGAAGGCATCTGTGTATTTCATAGACTTTGAACAAGTTTTGGTTTGATTCAGAGAAGTTTGTTTTGAAAACTCAGTTAAAATTTCTCATATGACATGGCTTTTTGTTTTTCTATTCTTCCAGATATGTTTCATCTTGCAAATATTACCTCTAAATATGACTATTATGGTCTGACCTGAACATGATACTTTTATTATAGCCCAGATTGCATTGCCTATTTTTTTTAAGTTTATTTATTTTGAGGTGGGGTCCAGGGGAGACATGCACAAGTTGGAGAGGTACAGAGAGAGATAGGGAGAGAGAGAATCCCAAGCAGGTTCCACACTGTCAGCACGGAACCTGCTGCAGGGCTCGAATTCATGAACCGTGAGATCATGACCTGAGCTGATGTCATGATTCACCCAGGCTCCATGCATTGCCTATTTTTATAGCACCATACTTGGTTTGGGTTTCAAATCAATGTCCTGTAGTCACAGGTTTGAGCCAACTTTTGCAAGTACTTCAAACTTAACCTCAAATGGAACTAAGTGGTTTTGCATACAAACTCTTTCTAGGCTATTTCTCTGAAATCTGTTTTTCTTACATCAGTCAGAAGTCAAGGAGTTATCCTAAACTTCCTATTCTACCTAATTCCTAGGGTGCCCTTTTCTTATCCTACATTTCTCAGGTAGGTTATTAGTAACAGACATACTTAAAGTAGGTTAAAAAAATACCAAGTGTCTCATGTAGATAATTCTTAAGTATCTACACACAAATTTGTAGAACTAATGGGTTTATTAGCAATGCTGCAGAATACCAAGTCCATATATGAAAATGTCAATGCTATTTCTACAGGCAAGTAATAAGTAATCTGAAAATTAAGAAAATTCAATTACAGCATCATCACATAGAATAAAATACTTAGGAAAAAATAAAAGAAGTAAAAGATCTGAACTAAAAGCTACAAGACATAGCTGAGAAGTTTAAAAAAAAAAAAAAAACCCCAAAATGTTTGGGACCATTGCATGTTCATGGTTTAGAAGACTCAGTATTGTCAAAATTGCATTCTGAAATTGATCAATAAATTCAGTGCAAAATCCCAGCAAACTTTTTCAGAGAAATTGACAAAATGACCCTAAAGTTTACATGGAAATGCAAGATTTATAATAGTGAAAACAATTTAGGAAAAAGAACATAGTAATTTTCACTAAGGAGTCAATGAGTAAGAGCAATCTACATTTGGTCATTTCCTTCTGAATGTAGTCTCGTTTTTCCATATCCTTGTTGAATTCCATTCAGCTAGCAGCTAGACCTCAAGGTCAATTGTGACCACGTTCTTAGCAACACCTAAAAGACCATCATAGATGTTGTATAAGCAGAAAGAATGATGCCACCCTACCCCAAATATGTTCACATACTAATCACTGGACCCTGGAAATACGTTACATGGCAAAAGGTATTTTGCAGATGTGATTCATCTAATGACCTTAAAATGGAGAGATTGCATTACGTTATCTAGGTGGACCCATTCTGATCACATGGATTATTATTTTTTTAATTATGTTTTTTAATATTTGTTTTTGAGAGAGAGCAAGCATGAGAGGGGCAGGGAGAGGGAGACACAGAATCTGAAGCAGGCTCCAGGCTCTGAGCTGTCAGCACAGAGCCCAACATGGGGCTTGAACTCATGAACCCTGAGATCATGACCTGAGCCAAACGACTTTGGCCAAACGCTTAACCAACTGAGCCACCCCAGCGCCCCTCGCATAGGTTCTTAAAAGCAGAAAATCTTTCTACCTGTGGTCAGAGAGATGTAAAGAAAGAAGTCTCGTTGAGATACTCTATTGCTGGCTTTGAAGATAGAGGAAAGAGAACATGAGCAAAGGAAATCAGCCTCTGGAACGTGGAAAAAGCAGGGAAACGAATTCTCTCCTAGACTCCTCAAAAGAAGCACAGCCCTGCTGACATCTTTATGTTAGCCCAGTGAGACCATCTCAAATTTCTGGCCCATAGAACAATAACATAATAAATTTGTGTTGTTTAAGCCACTACACTTCTGGTAATTTAGTACATTAGCATAGAACATCCAATAAAATAGATGAAGGGATTAATATGATTTTTGTTTACCTATACATATTTTAACTAAATGAAATTCATTTTAATTTTTAAGGACATAGATACGTTTGTGGGAAGAAATTAAGCACAGGAGAAAGTTTTGAGGAAAATACTATTGCCAATTACTATATAGAGAAATTCAGTGCTAACATTAGTTTAGTAACATAAAAGTCAAATCACTCAATGTCTGTATTTTAAAAGATATTGCAATTATTACTGTTCCAAGGTGATTTTATCTCTGATAAAACTTTAATTTTAATTGTTTTTTCCCAGCATAATTACAACCCCATTTCTAGTACCACTAAACTTCACAATGAACAGGTTGTGTGTACTTTGACTAAATCAGTCATGTGACAAATTGAGATATTTCCTGACTTTCTGGAGCAGGAGAGGTGGATTTTTTTATCGTAGAAGAATGAGGGAGTGACAAATTAACTCTGCCTATACTTATTAAACTCAAGGTGGCAGTTAAGGGATTACCTATGATAATATTTTGTTTTTCTGCTAAGGGGAGCAAACAATGCTAACACTCAAAAGTGAAGAAGCACTAGGGAACCCTAATGCGACTCTTTCTAGAACTCTGAGGGAAAGTTGCCATTTGAAGATTATTTTTATTTCAGAATGAAGCACTAATATAGAGACATAATTTTTTTAATTTATCTTTTTAATTCTTGAATCAGTGAGGACAATAGTTTGCTGTTTATGGGTACACAACAGCCCTGTCCTAGGTATACAAGGGTATACATACGTCTGTAACATCAGCTACAGTGAATTTACTTTACTAGACAGCATAGCAAAGTAGGATTAACTAAAGGTATATTTTCATAAGAAAATGCTTTAAAATAACATGAAGTCAATGAACATTGGACTGTACAATTTATTCTGTCAAATTATAAACGTATGTCAGCTTATGTGTGTGAAATACACGAAGTTGGTCTCAACACAGCCATGTGCTTAGGAATGTGTGAAACACTTCATAAGCAATTCTCTAAGGGGTGTACTGAAAACTTCCAAAAGTACCCCAGATATTTGGTCATAGATAAGGAATAAACTTTAAGGCAATCTTCCAAGTGAATGTAAACTTTTCTGAAGTGGCCTTTCTAGTAAAGTGTTACGGTTATGAACACTGTGTACTTATTTGTAGTGCTGTTGAATATTTTTAGTAGCACGTTATCACACTAATTGTCACTTTTTAAAAATTAGCTTAAAAATCCTGCAATTATAAAAATGTCTGGGGTGCTTTTACTTTGTAGACATAAAGCAGGCACTTTCTGTTGACTTATCTATAAATCCTAAGTATTTTCTTCTAATAGTTTTTATCTCTAGCTAGAATTGTACTTCTAGTACTGTGTACTAAATCCTGTGTTCACATATCAAGAAATAATAATTTGCCTACAATTTTTCTAGTTTAAATCTGAGCCTAGAATTTCTTTTAATTGGTCATCTTCTACAGAAGCATCGAAATAAATAGTGCTACTCTTTGAACATTTTTCAATAATAATGACATCTTTCTGGCTGTTACGCCTTTTTCCAAAGTAATTGTCAGAGCATGTGAACTAAACTAACTAACTACACTGGAGAAATGGGTACAGGCCATTAGGAAGAGTCCCCTTGAA